GCAGACCCACGTCACACGTGTCAGCCTTCACGGACGCGTCGCTGTCAGGTTGGGGGGGGACATGCCTATCCCAAGCAGTAGGGGCGCTGTGGCCCCACCACACATCAGCCCACATCAATGTTTTGGAGTGTCGCACAGTGCTGAATGTGATTCAACACTTTGCTCCCGTGCTACAGAATCAACACGTGTTGATTCACACAGACAACATGATGACTGCTGCGTACATAACCACCAAGGGGTGTGCGTTCAGCCCAGATGTTACACATTGCGCGAAAGCTACTGTGTTGGGCTCATCAAAACCTGCTCTCTATTAGAGCGGTTTACATATCCGGTGTTCTGAACAGAGGGGCAGATGTGATGTCCAGGGGCGGCCCACGTCACGTGGACCGGACCCTCCATCCAGATCTGATGTTTTCAGACGTGGCAGAAGTTGGCAAAGCAGCTGTGGACCTGTTTGCGACGCGAGAGAACGCTCAGTGTCAACTATGGTTTTCCCTGAGCCCGCGAAACGATCCATCGCTGGGGGTGGATGCATTTGCTCACAGCCCGTGGCCCAAAACGCTTTTGTACGCGTTTTCTCCCACCTCCTATGTTTTTACGGTTCCTGAACCGAGTTCAGGAGGAGGGATTGACAGCTCTCCTGGTGGCTCCCGAGCGTGTGAACGCACCATGGTTCCCAGGCCTGCAACGTCTGTTGTCGGGTCGCCGTGGAAACTGCCGTGGAGGGAGGATGCTCTCCTTCAGGCAGGAGGAGCGATCAGGAGTTACCCAGAAATGGGTCAGCACCTGTGGGTCTGACCGCTGAGCGGTCCCACTTAGAGAGGATGGGTCTCCCTCAGGAGATAGTGTGCACAATTCAAGATTCACGTGCTGCATCTACCACAGTTCTGTACACATCAAAGGGGACGGCTTTTCAGCGCTGGTGTACAGAGAAAGGTTTAGAGGCCACCTCATGCCTTTTTAGGTGGCGTGTTGTCTTTCTACAACAGCTGATGGATAGGAAGTTGGCATTCAGTACGTTTTAACGTACGTTGCAGTCATCTCTTCCTGCCACGAAGTTTTCGGAGACAGAACAGCTTTTAATCACCCGCTGATGAAGCGTTTTTCTAAAAGGTGTTCAGAGACGCAGGCCTGCTTCACGTCCACTTGTTCCACAGTGGGATTTAACGCTGGTCCAGCGAGCCCTGATCAAAGCTCCAATTGAGCCTCTGGATCAGGTTTTCACTTAAAATTCTTGTCTCTTAAAACAGCCCTGCTGCTGGCTTTAACACCCGCTAAGAGGGTAAGTAATTTATCTGCCCTCTCTGTTGCTTCGTCATGCCTTAGAATTTAGGCTGACGGGCAGCTCAGCTGATTTAAGACCAAACCCAGCTTTTATGCCTAAAACATGACGAGCTCTTTTAAATCAAGTATGATATCGTTGGAGGGGTTTCTTCCCCCCCCCCCACAGATCAGAAGAGGAAGCATCTTTTCATCTTCTCTGTCCGGTGCGGGCGTTGACGTGTTACATAGCACGCACAGCTGCAATGCGTTTCAAACTCAACAATTGTTTGTGCGTTATAGAGATGCATCTGCAGGTCGCCCGTTATCCATCCAGCGCTTGTTGCACTGGCTGTGTGAGGCCTTTTCTGAAGCCTACAAAGCATCAGATTTAGAGCCTCCTGTCAACCTCAAAGCACACTCGACCAGGGGTATCGCATCTTCGACTGCTCTGCATAATGGTATGTCAATGCAGGACATTTGCACTGTGGCTGCATGGTCAACACCCTGCTCATTTATTCGCTTTTACCTACGTGATGTAACGGCTCGTTCCATGACACATTCTGTCCTTAGTGCTCTAACAGAATGAATATTGTTGTT